ATCTAACCTACCCCTCCCAACCTTCCCAAATGTCTGTGCGTACCCATCTTCCAAGGGAAGTAGTGCTGGCTCCTACCCTGGGGGTCTTTAAGAAGAGGCTTGATACCTACCTGGCTGGAGTCATTTGAGCCCAGTTCTTCTCCTGCCCAGGCAGGGGGTCAGACTTGAAGATCTACAAGGTCCCTTCCAACCCTACTTCTGTGATTCTATGATTCTATGACACCTGGAGGACATGACAGGGAATGGATCCTTCTCACAGGCCCTGTTTCTTATGCTCTTGTTTTAAATCATCCATTACTTGTCACTGTTGTGATAAGATACTGAGATAGATGGACCTTTAGATGGACTTTGGTGATTCTTATGTTCATTCTGGCCCTCAGAGCAAGCTGGGAGTTAAATAGAAAACTCTCTGAGTTATATAACATCTGAAGGGAATTTTTTTAAACCAGCATTTATGATCACTTTCTACAAATGCTCACTATATTCAGAAGGATTACATCTGGCTAGCTGATGGCTAATGTAGACAAATTCTTTTTTCTTATTCGGGCTGTAGAGAGAGGTATGAGCTGTCATATTAATCTCCTGAAATGTTAACTCTGAAACCATAGATGCAAGATAGCAGATAAATCTGTCTGAAGTGTCACTTTGTCCCATTTCTTTTCCTTATTGATGTTCACAACCTTCATATTTTTCTAGGTAGTCACCATGTTCTCCAGACTTATTGCTTAGTCAAGCCATCCATAAATTGCTGTTTCTGTCTGTAGAGGTTTTTAAGACCCGGCTAAACTTGGCTGGGATGATCTAGTTGAACCTGGTCCTGCTTTGAGCAAGGGGTTGGACTAGATGAGCTCCTGAGATCCCTTCCAGCTCTAATATTCTATGATTCTGTTATTCTAACTCTCTTCCTATGTTCATCTCTCAGCTTCCTGATCGTTTTGTCACTCTTCTCTGAATTTCCTCTGGTCTCTCCTTGTCTCCATAGAATAGAGGTGCTTATGGCTGAACAAACTGTTCCTGGGGTTGTCATCACAGAACTGTTATTTGCTGAGACTACTCCCCCTTGGCTCCTTGATGTAAGGTCTCATCTTTCGCTGCCTCAGATATTCCCATCCTCTATCAGCCTTTTCAGTAAACTACCATTCCCTTTCACCAGCAAATTTTGGGCACAGAGCTCATTGAATAAAAATGACAAAGTTAAGGAGGCTGATTGCAGTGAGCAGGATTTATGCAGACATAAAGTCAGCACATCATGTATATAATTTCACAAGAAATCATGTTGCTAGCTTTTTCCACTCTGTTTTCATAGGCTGGGGCAAGAGGCCAATATGTTTGACCACCTGTACTTTGAGGGCTAACTGAGGCAGCATTCTCAGACAACTTATTTTATCACAGAGCCAGTCGAAAGTAGAAATTGCAAAAGTCCTATACGCTTGCTGCAGAAACAGCCTCTAGAGGGGGCTAAGTTACTGAAACCTGGTTTGGTTTGATGCTCAGTGTTTATTCCAGATAGCTCTAAGGAACATACAGGCAATCCAAGTAAACACAAGCTTCCAGATGGAGATCACAAGCAAAGCCATATATTTCAAGACAAATTCTGACTACCTGTGAAGTTGGTTCAGGACCTAGCAAAACTTGAAACCAAAATTACTTTACACCCTCCTTGCAAAGCCCATTTTAAGGACTTCATGAAAGACATTTGAAAAGCATTTTCAATACTTTGGTAGCAAAAGTCATAAGCTGAAGAGTGTACTGTCAACACATGCTGAATCATTGACACTTGAGTCAGCAGACTCTTCAGTTTCCAATGACTTGAAAAAAGGAGGGCACCAGGCTTGTCTATGTCAAAGAGCTGCATTTCAAGTTGCAGAATCCAGATCTGCCATCAGATCTTTCAAGTCACAGAACATTGTGACACCTGAGCCAAACATCAGCTTCACCCTTAAGTTTACCCTAATGCTTATTTCTTTGGACACTGACCCAGGAAGGGAAAGAAAGGGAAAGGAAGAGGACAACCAAAAACCTCGAAGTACACATTCTCCAGAGAGTGGGATCCAACTAATGACAAAATGTATGGTTGAACTGCCCATACTTAGACAATCTGCACAAGAAGTTGTGGGTACTAAACAGCTTCCTCGATGATGCTCCAGGGACATTGAGTGAAACCCTATTATTGTTGTATGGAAATAGCTTTCTGTTTCTACATTTTTACAGTAAATTCTGTGCCCATAGCAGATCACACATGACAGTTTGAAAGGATTCATGTTTTACTATTGGCAATTCAGGGATGTATTTACACTTATCTAGTTGGTTAAACTTTGACAGTGTCAGCTGTGAACATTTGCTATAGGTCACTGATAAAATGTGATAAAGGAATCATGTGCCACCTTTTGTTAATGGTAGCCATAAGCAGCAGTCATGGACATGTTTTCTGAGAACAGTGTAGCCTGTTAAACCCCACTGACACTGTATCCTGGTCTGTAGATAGTATGCATTTGTTCTGAAATAGTGTTGACTTTTAGGGTGTGCATCATGTCATCTCTACTTGCTATACACTCCTTTGTGGAGCCCGGGTAGTATCTAGGAGGAGGCTGTTGTCAGTGCCCAGCATCTATGTATGGAAAATGTTCTTGGACTAGGAGAAAAAGTCTACTGCAATATATACTGAAATGTTTTTTCATTATATTTTTACAACTTCTGTATACATCATAATCCTCTACCCCAGGCTCTTCACCCTTTCCCCACTAGTCTAATAAGAGTGAAACCTTGTGAAACGCCACTAGGAATTTTGAAAAAACAATATTCCTTATTTCCATGAGATTTTGGATGAGGGGGGTGGAATCAGGTGCTAGTTTAAAGTTAAATCCAGGGATTATTTACTCTGGGGTCATCATTTTGATTTTCCTTCTACAGCATTTTAAGCATGATGAGCATTGCAACATACATCTCAAAGTTTACAAGATTCCTTTTATTTTTATTCTTCCCCATTTTCCCTATCCCCTTTTATATTTGGCTAGTGAAGGGGCTTATCTAGGTTGGGAACTGAGTCTCCTAGGAGGTGAGAATTTAAACTACTCAGTATATCTTCAGAAGGGCTCACACCATAAGCATACACAGGCTCTTTACTCAGAGTGTTCACATCTGGATGCCTAAAGTGAGGCTACATAGGTCAGCAATCAAACACATTAATCAGAAAGACTGATTAATCAACCTGCCTGTTAATCAGAAAGACTGAGCACCCACAAATGTCTTGCAAGGCAAGGAGAGCTAGAATTGTTCAGCACATTGAATAATGAGAGCACTTCTATTTAGGTGCCTAACAATGGATTTAGGGGCACAGGTTTTTCTGACACCCACATTTGATATTTTCAGGGCAGGGCTAAGATCCCTTTCAAAATCTCTTTGAAATGCCATCCAAAGCTCTATGTGAGATATGTTTATTGTTAATGGTCCTGATAATTGTTCTTCCAGCCAGGCAGTCATGAGCATGTCATTTTTCCAGATATTTGTTCTGTAGGCTTCATTCGTAACGTATATCCTGATCTTGTCCAGTACTGGAAGCTTGGAAGCCTTCCTAGCTATTTTACAGCATGATTATTTTACTGAGGGCATCCGCTTTGCACTGCTCACAGGAAATACGGGAATTTAAACTGGGAATCATTCCAGTTTAGCAGGGACATTCTTTTAAATCAAATTACCATTTATTATAAAAACAAGCCTAGACCATAGAAGATATTAACTATGCTCCAGCCACAACTAGAATGGCTTTGAACATGTAAGTTACTTGGCTGTATATGATGTTACACAAGGCCTTGAGGTGTCCATTAGGAACATTAATATCACAGTTAAAAAGTCTAAACTACTCAGTTTCACTTCCCAGTTCTCACTTGCTTCAGACATATGCTCACAACAGCAAAGTTACCCACAATAGAAGTTATAAATTTATAACACTAATCCCAGGGGCATTTCTGTATGCTTACCAGTACATGTGTCAACTGACACCACACTGATGACCAAGGTAGAAAACAACTGAGAAAGAAAACCCGCAGAGGCTTGTATACTTGATTGCATTTTGCTTTACAGGGTTACTGTTCTTGGTAACAGGCAGAAGCTTTGTGCCAGATGGTTTTTGTCCCTCTTCATTGCCCAACTACCAGAAAAGGTGTGTGTGTGTGTGTGTGTGTGTGCGTGTGTGTGTGCGTGTGTGTGCGTGTGTGCACGCGCACATGCATGTGGGAAGGGGAGGGGAGAGAAGGGGACAGGTTCTGGAAGTGATGACCGAAGCTTTGCTGTATTCTGTATTCTTTGCTGTAATCCTGTATTTCCTCATAAATCCTGCAGCATTCTGCATTACAGACCCAGACCTATACAGCTTACTGCAGCATTTTGAATCATTACTGCACTGTTTTCAAAAGAGTTGTTATTCTCAGGTAAATACAGTCAAATAAGTTACTTGTTAAAACAAAACTAAACAAAGGGAGGATCTGGCTTGCAGTGGGGAAAAAATCCTTTAGATAGCAGCTTCCTATATAGTACAGCAGCATTACTGAACTCACTATAGATCAAGATCAGTTTATCGCCAAATCCTTTTCCAAACAAAATACTCAAGCAAGAGGTGGGTTTCTTTGTTTCCAAAGGATGGGGTTGTCCACCCACAACAGCAACCAGCAGTTTGCACAGCCATTCCCTGCCAAATGCTGACAAAGGCAGTCCTAATGAATCATTCTGAATTGTGATCATGTGCTACCAGCCGTCAGTGAGCTGCCAAAGAGGAAGTGCAGCTTGTTTTCTTTCATTTTCTTGATTCCTATGCTGCAGGAAGATGAGAGGAGAAGGAGGAGGAGGAGGAGGTGAAAGCAACAGCAGCAGCCAAACTTAATAAGTAATCCTGACAATTGCTGATTTCAAATGGAGGCCTCTGAGTGGGACCCACTGAAAAATGATACCCTTCTACCGACCCTGACGCCAGCTGTCCCTCCATACGTGAAGCTGGGCCTGACTATTGTATATACTGTGTTTTATTCACTGCTCTTTGTGTTTGTCTACGTCCAGCTCTGGCTGGTCCTCCACTACAGGCACAAGAGATTCAGTTACCAAACCGTATTCCTATTTCTGTGCCTCTTTTGGGCCTCTCTCAGGACTGTGCTCTTTTCATTTTACTTCAAAGACTTTGTCACAGCAAATTCTTTCAGTCCCTTCATCTTCTGGCTTCTCTATTGCTTCCCAGTCTGCCTCCAGTTTTTTACACTGACACTGATGAATCTTTACTTCACTCAGGTAAGGAATGGACCTTTCTGTGCCTTGGTCAATTTTAAATCCTGAAGAATTGTAAAGCATTATTATTATTATTATTGTTATTGTTATTATTATTATTTTCAAGATTCATGGGAGAGATGTCATTTCCTAATGTATACAGGGAGGCAAAAGCAGAACATTGAAAATACTTAATTTGTAGCTTTGATTTTTGGAGGGTGAACAAGTGACAACGGTTACAACAAAACCTATAGCCTGGACTGGCCCTACAAGGTCCCAACAAAATAAAAAAATACATGTGTTGGTTAGTAAAAGGTGTCATTTAACTGATGGTTGAATAAAACTGCACTGGAGACATTGGGCATACTTTAACGTAGATATTTAAAATGCAGGTTTGTTCCTCAAAGAGACAATGTAAAGTTTCCTGTGTCTCAGACCTGCTCCCGGTGGAGACTTGGAATTGTGTCTTATGGATATGTTGGACAGAGAGGAAGAGAGATTTTAGCTCTTATTCACATTGGTTCCCCTGTGCTAATGTAAATCTAACCAAACTGGATTTTATTTCTCTTCAGGTATAATCTCTCAAATTGTTAATGCGATCCCTATTGCAGGCCTAGATTTTTATTATTTGTATTACAATAGAACCTGTAGACTCCAGATGGGTCTAGGCCTCTGTAGTACTATGCTGTGTGCATGGAAAGAAATAACCACTGTTTCAAAGGGTTTCTAATCTAAACAGATAGCTGTGGAATGGGGAGAAGGGAAGTATTAAACCCCATTTAAAGATGGAGAACTGAGGATGTATGTACATTGCACTCTGCAGTGCAATGCAGAGATACCCAGGCTAGCTGTAAACAAGTGAGCTCAGGTACTGGAAGCAATCACACCATAGCAACTGGTTAAATTAGCCTGTGCAGTGCTCTGTGAGCTTTATGCCACATTATGCCACAGTTTGCATATAGACCTATCCTGAGACAAAGGGGGACTGTGACTTGCCCAAGGTGATACAGGAAGTTTATGACAGTTGTGATTAAGACTCTAGATCCAAGGCATTCTGGCTCGCCCATGGCGGGTGCCTTGGCTCTGCCTGGCCCAGAAGCAGTGGGCATCCTGGGCTGTGGTGCATGTGGTTGGTCCCAGTGCCCCCTGGTGCACAATGGGAGTTGGGGAGTGGGGACAGACTCAGCTTTCTGGCAGCACCCCCAGTGATGGCTCACTCTGCCCAGCTGCCACTCCACATCCACCGCTGGGGATGCCAGATGGAGCAGGTGGGCGGGCAGGGTCTCAATGGAGATCAGGCCAGAATACCTGCAGTGAGCGTGTGCTCGTCTGGGCGGATGGGATGGGGCCATGCTCTGGTGGGGAGCAGCATCCAGGAGTGGGATGGGCAGGGAGCTGGGGGTGGGGGCAAGGGTTGGGATCATGGGTCTGTTAGAGTGTGGGTCCCGGGCCTGAGGCAGAGGTGCAACCTGGTCCCTGCACATCCCTGCCCACAGAACTGGTGACCATTTCAGAGACATGCGGGGAGTAGATTGCAGCTCTGCCCTGGGGCCCTAGCCCCACGCTGTCACTGCCCTATGATCCTGGCCTCGCCAGCCTGTCCCACTCCCAGACGCCACTCCCTGCCCACCTGCAGCCCCATCCCATCCCATCCACCCAGCTGAACGCATCCTACCCATGGGGATCCCAGGCCAGTCTCCATGGAGACTCCACCCACCCTCCCACTCCATCCAGCACCCCAACGGTGAGCATGGGGCAGACAGGGCTGGAGCTGGATAGGATCAATTGCTGCCTCCTCCCCGTTGTGCTGTGCCAGGTCAGGTGCCCCTCCCCTCCCCCCAGCCCACAACAGCTCACCAAAACTAGTGGCCCTCCAGGCCAAAAAATTACCTACCCCTGCTCTAGATCTTCTAAGGCTCAGTCATAGGCAGAGGAAGGCGGGGGATAATGGACCTTAGCTCCCTCCAAACGTGTCTCCACTGATCCAGTGCCACCGCAGCACTGCGCCCAATGTCCCTGCCACGCACTGGCCCCAGATTGGCCCTGTGGGACAAAGGGGTGGCCCCACACCACCCTATACCACCCCTACATCCCCAGCCCCCCCAATATTTTCTCCTGCCACCATGTCCTAAGCCTAACCTTCCTCTGAATTTTTCCCTCAAAACTTTATCAGGAAGGGTGTTTTTTTCCTAGCGTGGATGGTTCTTATGGATAAGAACGCAGTTTAGGTTTTAAAGGCAATATGTGAAACTCCTGTTAAAAACCCTGAAATAAACACAGACAAAACATATAGGGAACCTTTCCTCTGTAGGTCTCCCTATACAACTTAGGCTCACAGGCCAGGTACAGACATTACACTTTTACTGGTATAAGTAATTGGAAACCAGTCTATACTCAGAACAGAAGTTTGGCGCACATAGCCTGGTTTAAAAATGGCAGAACCTAATCTAAGATTTGCCCCTCGTCCCCACCCCCCACCAGAGGTAAAATGTATGCTCTGTTTGCTACTGATCTAAACTATGGCGCTTACCGAAAACCACATAACTTTGATTGATTCCACCTTGGGCTTTTTGAATGATTGTACCTAGCCACAGCAATCCAAGCCTGTTCCATGGCCACTGTGTAATGAATGAATTTGGTGATGGTCCAATATCACACAAATGCTTTTGTCATCACAATAGTTGGCACTAAATGGTAGCTTTGGGCAAAATTCTCCTTTCATACATAAATGCACAACTCCCATTGAAGTCCTCTGAAGGCAGAGTTTTATATCTTGGTGCTCTGCCGAGAAGTTAAGGATTAAATGAGCATAGAGAGTGTATTACAGTATGTACTCTGTACGCAGAGTGCCAGCACTCAGGGCTTAGCATCATGGATAAAATTGACTTCTTTCATCTAAAGAAAGACCTGAAAGGCAGAGAATTTAAACTGAATGTACTCAAATGTTCATTTTACTTGTATTTTCATGTTACTCTCTGCTAGTACAGCTAGGTAGGGAGCGTGATCTGGTAGGTAGAGGAGATCTACATTATGATTTTTAGATTCTGTTCTTGATACCAGTTCTGCAGCTTCACCTTTGCGTATCACAACCTTTCTAGAGCATCAACTCTGCAGCTCTGTAGAAGTGGGACAAAACACTTAGAGCATATAAACAAAGGACTTTAGACTCATGACTGACTGTTGTTATAGATGAGCAAATTATTATTAGTGCTGTTTGCTTCAGTGCTGATTGCTCCCTGAAAAGTTCTGTTTAAAATAGCTTTAGATATTCAACCCAGCTAAAACACAGTTAGGAAACACAAGTGCAGCCCTCATGAGAATATAACATAATACATGAAACAAATGTATGTACACACTACTAGGTATTCTTTGCTTCCAACCAGCCAGGAGGTGACTTGGCTTGTAATTCAGTCTGCTATTGAGACTATCTTTTTATGCACACCTACCTAGCCACAGCAGGCAAGCAAAAGCTTGTGTGAAAGGGGTGGGGAGAGAGAATGTGTTTTCAGTCATAACTTATAACCCCACAGACCTGTTCTAAGGCAACTTTTAACCTCTTTCCTTTCTCAAAAGGGCAAAAAAAGCAGTTTGCAGCCTGTCTCTCACTATATAAAAGTCAGACTAGTTAACTGATACTTAGTGAGAAAAAAAGACATTATCTATCACTGGCAAAGGGACATGCTGGGTCTCAAGTCCATCGCTCTGCCACTTCCCATACTTTATAGAGCTTGGAAGCTGATAAATATATACATATTTATTTCTTAAATAAATGTATGACTTATTAAACTGCTAAATATACACATATTCATTTTAAGCAACAGAACAGAAAGAAGGCATTGTCCCCTAAGCCTGTGCAAATGATCTCGGCTGAATGACAAAACTGATTTAACTGGCAAATGCTTAGGGCAGTTTGTGCCTTTGAACTTGACAGGAAGTTAGCAGCAACTATTGACCACATACCCCTGAGCAACAAGGATCCAAGTGTGAACCATATGTTTTGTGCAGCAAGATCAAAAAGACATACTAAACCCAAGGCAGGAGTGGTTTTCCCCAACCCTGAGAGTTATCTGCCCTGGGGAGGATGTTAAATCCTCAGCACAGTGAGCAAAGGATTGGCACTTGGTGCTTGAAAGGATGTCTAACAGGTCTCCCAACTATACAGTTTGCCCAGTAAAAGATGCCACACAACATCCATGCCTCCCGAAAGTTTCCTGCACGCTCGTGGCTACAACGCACCAAATCTAATGGAACAATGGGAGAAGCAGTTGCAAGGAGATGGGTTTCAGACTGAGATTGTTTCTTGAGGTCCTCTGGCTTGAGCTACGCCTGCAGGTTGCGAATGTACATACCAAATGATCTGTACTATGTTTTTTGATTACCAAGAGATGGTACATCATAAAAGATGCTAGAGAAAACTTATGCATTCACAATTAACTCCTCTCATCAGAAAGCTTAATTGCAGGAGAGGTACATTTTTTTCAATCAGGAAGGAGATAGAGATCATTTTGTTATTCATTGTCCATGTCTATATGTTTAGCTCATATAGAAAATAATCTACTCATTCCTTCAGGCTAAAGTTTCCTTTGCATGTAAAGTCATGAAAATAGGTCTCAGGTTAGTGTAAAAACAGATAGTAGGATTGTTATTGTAAAACAATAGCTGAACACTTGCAAATAATTATGCACTATAAGCAAAAGCCACCCCCTTCACTCATCAGATAATATACTGTGACGTACTTGTATGCCTACAAAGGATAGCTTCAAAAGCCTGGAATTCTCTCAGTCTCACACTTGCAACTTCCCCCCCTTCTCCATAAGTTTCTCTGGGCTATTACAAAATTGCAAATCAACAAATTACATACTTCTGCTTTACTTGAATGCAGCTAGTGGTTGGTTTGGAATTCAAATGCTCTGTTACACATTTCCTGCCTGGACATTTCTCTTCTCCCACTGATTGGTGTTCAGTGGCACTATCAAGGTTGAACTGAGAAAAGTCCTGAGGTTTTTCGAGGCAGGTGTGAAGGCCTAAAAACCGCCAAAGTCTGGATTTAGAAAGGAAGGCCAGATGCTTAAGAGGGAGTAGAGGGGGGAAGGGGAAGCCAAGAGGAGCTGACGTGTTTCATCTTGCTTTCTTACTTTTCAGACTTTAAAGTGACTTGGGGTATGTATGGAGGTTGTGTGAGGGACACAGCTTAGGGCAGAGGGGGTTGGGTTAGAGGACTAGAAGGTCTTTAAGTTCTGGGAGAAGTTTGAAGGGGCAAGGCTCCCAGCCAGGGGAGGGCTGCCCAATGGACCCAGACCTAGGTCCTAACTATGACACCCTGACAAGGAAGATTGCTGTTCCTCACATTGCTTCTAAGGAGTCATAGCCGCCAACAAGAAGCAGAAGCAGACAAGCAAAGGGCAGAGAGAAACCTAATGCAATGTTTCCTGTGCTATAACTTGGAGGGAAAATGGATGGAAATATTTATTACTGTAAATGGAATTTTATGATATAATAGTTATTGAGGCCCAGAAGGCAGGTTTGACTAAAGTATCGACATGCAGTGCTAAAGCAGTTTTATCCTGTGCTTATTATTAAATTGAAGGGTGCTTTAAATGTACTCAGTGCTCCACAGGAGTGAAAATAGAGGTGAAGAAGCATAAGACAATCTCTGCCCATTACACCTGATGTGATGTCTACACTAGAAAAAGTAGTACTGCACATGCGCTAAATTGCTGGTATAGGCAGGGCTTGGGTGCTTTTCCTGACCCCATTGCTATGACTTGATAGTAAAATTGCCCTAGCTTCGCTTGCACTACACTCAACAAATTGATAAGGTCCAGAGTCTAAGCTCTTTACTAACACTGATGAGTTGCTCAATCTGTGATTAGCTGCGTCAATGAGTGTGGAGCTGCGCATGGGATGAGGCACTTCCAGTGTGAGTAAGAGTGGCAGGATCTAGCTGTCTGATTTTTGCCTGGTGATGTGACAGTAATAAAGTCTACACAAGAGCTATCTTTATTCATTTGCAAGTAAAGACATTTTTTTGCAAAAATCTTGTTGATCTAATAAAAGATATCATCTCTACTATGTGTCCTGATTGCCCTTTATTCATAGCATTCTTGGAGATGCACCAATACAGTAAAGCAGTTACATGTCTCCTTATTGTAAATAGAGCCACAGTTTTGAAATTTGGGAAACAAAGCTTACTTCCCCATTCAATGGGTTCATTTGCACAAGAGGTTTACTGCACTGTTGACTAATTAGCTGCACAGTAAACATCTTGGCATCTATACATGAACCCCTATTAGGCTGAATAAACTAATTTACTCCACAAATACAAGTACTATCCTTCTGCAAAAAACTCCACAGCAGTGCACATATAAATGCTGGTGGGGCTGGCTGAGGCATGAGGGTGCTTCAGTGGAGGGGCTGCCTGCCAGTTAGCTCCATGGTGGATCACCCTAGTGCCCCAGCCAGCCAGCCATCCCCTCTGCAGCATGTTGAACCAGGGGGAGCAGCTGTGGGCTGGCAGGGGCATCCTGCCATCTGGGACTGCTCCGACCTGGCTCCATGTGCTGTGCATGAATAAACTCTGGTGCTTATTGCTCCGGAGTTTATTGCTCCTGGGCACACATTTAAATAGTATGCCCAGGAGCAATAAACTCTAACTCTATAAGCTCTGAAGTTTATTCATGTACAGTAATAGCATATGTAGATGCTCCCATTGGTTTCATTTGCTCTTATAAAATTCAGAAGTATAATTTTCACTGGTGCAGCTCTACCATTTTAGCACTCTCTCATCTAAACCTGAGGCCCTGTAGTTTCTCTTATAAATTCCACATCTATTTTTCCCTAGGGTAAAAAAGGCTGATCAGGGTAGTTCTGCATCCCTCCTTTTATACCAGTGCGTCATCGCTCTCTCTCTCTCTCTTTCTCTCAAGAAGAAGGGTGACAGAAGATGGCTCTCAAGCAGAAGTACAACTGGGCGGTTTGTGCCCTGGGCGATGGCCATGCATGGAGCACAGCCACTGCTGGGTTGCTGGTAGTGCTGTGGTAGCTGGCAAAGCAGGGGTGACAGCTGCTATTTTTGTGTTGCCACAAGTTGGCCCTTGGGGCTAGAGCCCTGCTTGCCCCCCTCAGTTACATTACTGTATTCCAGCTTTTGCAACAATGCTCCTGGATTTTGTAGCAATTTGACTTGTGTTGCACTGTAAATGGTATGGTGCTTTTATGCTTTTATGTTAAGCAGTATTTTGCTCCTGGAAACAGTCATATTGAAACTAACAGCACTATTTGTGTAAGTGAATGCTACTCTAAGGCTTGCAAAATCTTCAGTCCACCATCAAGAATCACTTCCTTGGTATCGGCAAGGCTGTGATCCTGTTCTTCGGTTGTAAACAGCATCTTCCACAATAAACAGGACAGACAAAACCTGAATTTTTAGTGCAGAAAGTATGCCCTGAAATTTACTGCCCCCATGCCTGCAGTGCCCAAATTGTCAGGCTTTCTTCATACATCCCAGAGAAGCAAAAACAGCCATAATTATTTAATGTATTTCCTTTGAGCAGCAAGAAAAATGAAATCATGTCAGAAGTCCTGTGGAAGATGTGGCAGCAGACTGTTTAAGATGTCTTGCTACAGCTCCAGACTTGTGCCAAAGGTTGTCCCTAGTTGACCCAGCTGAAAATGGGTACCTGGCTAGAGGCACTTCAGTGTGATGCTGGCTATATTACTCCCTTGTGTGGCATTGACTATAGAAGCCACTCTGCCTTAGCTACACCAGACCAAAGGACTCAGACAGACCATTTTGATTCCACTTGAAGTCCTTTGAGGATTTGTTATAGTAGGTGCCTAGAGAATGGAATATAGAGGGTCCTGCCGGACTTTATAGTGCCCCACTTTGATCTACCTTAAAAACATTTGAAGCTGCTGCAGAGATTTTTCTAGCTTTTCCAGGTTTTAAACTGCTTTTGTTTCTGAAGCAAAGCTGCTTTTTCTGGTTCTACCTAACAAGCACCCTTCTCTACAGCTGAGGAGCTTAGTGCGTGAGTCAAGATATTTTCCGTGATAAGGCAGCTGTAGATCATGAATAGCTGAAAATAGCAAATATTATTTCAGCTACATTTAAAAAGCATGAAAGAACAAACCTAGTGAAAAGGAACAGAAAAGATCAGTAGACAGGAAAATGGTTCTAAAAGGCACCAACCACAGTGGAACATGAAGTATCACTAAAGGTTATTTTAAAAGTACAAAAATAATGTCAATTTGATTTCTATTTTTTTGAAATCTGATTGATTTTGTATTTGAAGTCTATTTCTTTTAAGTCCTTGGCAAAAAAAGTTGAGTTGAAACAGATGCTTACAAACTGCACATATTTAGAAATTATTTTAACCCCTGAATTACTAATGGTGCTTCCCTACCATTTTGGATCATCATGATTTCTTTTCATTTTTATTTTTTACAGTCAGAAAACTGCTGTGTTAGCTATTGCACTCTAAAATGCCAGTGGTGACAAGATCAAGGTAGTTTTAACTCGGATACAGTTAGACAAGGTCAACACTATAACCTCATATCTAGTTACATTGTGGTTAATAACTACAGTGCCTTGTATCCACTCAGATTGTACAACAAGATAGCTACCCTGCCTTAGCCAGAGAAGACAGGATGCGCTTCAGTGTAACATCATCAACCTCTTTCTCACTGAGGCTGCTCTGGCAAAGTAAAGGTGCCCTAACTTGGAATGTAAACATTTATACACCAAATTACAGATTCCTATCCAATTACTGGGATTATCTTTTAACACTCCTATGCCCCTGAGTGGGTTAACTGCTTTGTTTTTTCCCTCCTACCTACCTTGCCTCTCCCAGCAGTGCCCCCTCTTTTTTTCTACTGTTTATAGTCTAATCATTGCTTTATTTAGAAGCTCCACTTTCTATAGGTCCTTCATAATGGCTGATGAAATAAGCGGCTACTTATGAAAGCTTATGCATCTCTGATTCAGTTAGTGCATAAAGTGTAAATCAACCAAGCCTTCTACACACATTTGAGCGATTTTACCCTAAGCCAGAGTAGTGTAAAAAGGCCTTCATGTGAATGAGAATCAGGCTCAGTGTGTCAACTAAAGCTAGGCTATGCTAGGAAGTTGTGCCAGGATAATTATTTTAATTTGGAGTGTAAATATTTACTGGGCAAATATATCAATATCACTGTGTTTTGACAGTAAAAGTTGTAACCAAATGTGCAAAAAATATTTTATGAAACCCAGTCTGTGTGAGGTGTCATATTACTGGTATAGTTCTTTATTTGCATTTGCTGTACATATAATGCCATTTTTTCTTCCATTTTTGCAGGTTATTTTTAAAGCTAAATCAAAATACTCTCCAGAACTACTTAAATACCGGTAAGAATCATGCAAACCTTTTTTGTAGCAAATAAAATGCCCATGTATTATAAGAATCGTTGTATTATTAGTAAACATGTCCTTATAGTCTCCTGTCTACAAATGCTTTATTATTATTAAGGATGGTTTGGATGCCCACTGTGAAATTTAAAAATGGATGTCACTTCCCCAAATTTAACAGCTGCATTTTTATATATCTGAATATGTTAAAGTGGGGTTACAAAACATGAGCCTGGTGGCCAGTTCTGGTCCACAGGGCCACTCTATGTGGCCTGCTGGACTACTGATGTACCCCAGAGGAGTGGTCTGCCACAGAATCCAGGGCCTGAGGGCCCCAATAAACATAGCAATTGGCAGCAGAAGGCTGAGCAAGGGCTAACAGGTCCACTCGCCCTCCAGCTACTTTCCCTGTCTGTGCTGCTGAGGCCCTACCTCTCCAGCTGCCGGCCCTTAGCACCATGCCTTGATGCAAAGCCAGAGTTTCTGCCAATGTGTAGTGTGGGTTGTAGCTGGAGCCACCACCACCACATGTTCTGGGGTCAGAGCCAGAGCTGGAGCTGCCGCCACTGTTGCTTCCTCATGCCCTGGGCTTGATCTGGCCCACAAGGAGCCTGATATCTAGCCTGGGACACAAGACAAATTTGTCACGTGTGTTAAAGTATTAAGTGCAAGATGAGCTGAACAGTCACTTGCAGGTGTGTCTATTTGATGGCTTCAAGTCTTTGCTTGGAGATTGTTGGGGACCTGTTGTGTCCAGTTGGAAAGGAGAGAGATTGTCTGTGTCTTGAGGCAGATCTGGAACCTGGCTGGAGAGCTGAGTTGATTTCTAGAGGTGGACCTGTGCTGGTTTTGTGTTCAACCCAAGAAGTTTGGTTACTGTCTTGTCTGAGAAGGAGGGATTGTAAAGAATAATTTGTGGTTTATTAAAAGGCAATGCTAGGTGTCCAAGAAGGTAGGAGAGGAATTAATTAGTTAATTAGTCTTGCAAGAGCACCCACAGGCCTCCTCAGGGAGCAGAGGCCAGTATGCTGAGTCCTGTGGAAACAGAAAGTGTGAGCCACAAACATAACCTCAATGTTATGACTCAAACCAGGAAAGTGGCATAATTTGGAATATGGTTACTTGGCCTTCCACATCCTTACCATTCAGTAGAGCATGATGTTGTACCAACAACTGAAGTGTTGCTGTTGTGGAGAGCTCGTATCAATTTAGCTCAACAGTTAGTATTCAAGAACAGGAATTTAGGAGCTGTGGGTGCCTATACACAAGCAGCGAGGCTGCTCCAAGGCACTGTAATTACAGTGTGTCAGAGCAGACTCAGTTATTCAAGTCTGCTGGGACATGGTAATTACCATGCTCCAGATGACTCCAGCGTCTCATGTATCAGCATCCCTGTGCTTAAAAATGGCAGCAGGGCCACTTTAACTAAAGCTCATTCAACGAGCTTTAGTTAAAGCACTCCCCCCACCACCACCATTTTTAAGTGCAGGGCACGCTAATACACGAGATGCTCTGAGCACTTTAATTAGAGCAGCTCTTGTAGCCACTCTAATTAAAGCATCCCTCACACCCAGAGCAGGTGTACAAATGCCCTGTCGTGTTTCCTAGAATTGCAGCAAAATGATTGGCTGGAAGGCAAATGGAGAGAACCATACTGGGATTCTTGGCTAAATAGTGTGTGAAACAGGTAGAATGTGAGAAGATGGTTGAATGATAAAAAGAGAGCATCTATGGGAGACAGCAGCTGGTGTAAAAATGTAAACAGAGGTTTAAGAAACGTGTGACAGGCAGAGAGATTTGCATGAAACCTGGAGAACAGGAGAAAGCAAGTGAGAAGATGGAGCTAGGGAAGCGGAGACACAGCTGTAGAGAGCTGAGCAATGAAAAACAGCAGCTTTGAATTTGGATCATTCACCACTACTGGTAGAAACTGCAATGTTTTCTATTACAAAGTGCTTGAAGAGAAATTTATTTAAACAAAGAGCACTTGTGATATATGAACAGTGTAAATGGAACGAGTGCATCTGCACCCAGCATGTGGTTCGTTGAGAGCCTCCATTCTGCATGGCATGGTAGCTGTCTGAAAGTTTCTAATGCACATACTGTCAGTTCACGTATGTGCTACATCTTTTCTTCTTATATTCAAAACACATAGAACTCATAAGCCTGCCATATGCAGAGATCTTGTACTTGCAAAACTGTATTGGTTAAAGGTGTGACTTTTTTCTGATAAACTGGTGCAACTCCTAGTGTGGATGCAGATATATTGGTATAAATCCTTGTACCCATGTAACTTATTCCCCTTCCCATAAACTGATCGTTCTACTGGTATAACTACATTATAGTAGTATAACTGTGTCTACACTGGAGGGCCTATAGTAGTTATCTGAATTATATTTTTCCTTAGTTTTGAATGTGTAGGGTGCATCCACACATGCAGGCATGTGCGATTGTAGGAACTCAAATAGCAGTGGCACAAATTTGTGCCAGAGATTTGTGCACCAGGACACATGCCTGAACATGTAGTTTGGTGAGGGGCAAATTGTACCACTTGGGGCAAACTGACCACGCACACCTTGCTGGGCTTGTTTGACCACAGCAGTCTTTCCTGCCCAGAGCAGGGGGGCTGGACCTGATGAGCTCACAAGGTCCTTTCCAGTCCTAAACTTCTGTGAATCTGTGTGTGAATGTGTGACACTGCTCATCTCCTCCCAGACCTTCAGCCAGGGGGAGCTAGAGGCTGGGGCCAGGACCCGTGCTGGCCCCAGTAGTATAACAAGCTGCCTTGAGGAGTAGCTCAGGGCTACTTGCCCTCAGGAGCTTCTGACACCTGGCCAGCTGGTATCTGGGGCACTATCCCTTGTGCCAGCTGGACTGCTGAAGCAGCCCTAACCTAGAGTGGCCCCTGTACCCTCTACCCACTGCAGCAGTCTGGTAGTGGGGGCTGCTGCCTGGCTGTAACCTGCTGCCACATGCAACAGCATCTTCCCCCTTGGACTTGTGACCCCATGGCTGCATGCCTGCCAGACCCAGAAAGGGACGGTATGACCACCTGGGCTCTGGTACAGGCACTGCAGCAGAGCCGCCTGCCCCTCTAGGCCAGCTGCCAATGGGCTGTGGCTCCACAGTTGGCCTTCAGGCCACACAGTTGTCCTTCAAGTGCCCCGCTCTGCCATCTGGTCAGCTATCACCCAGAAGTTGTGCTCCTTGCAGTAGTCCACTTTGAACTGTCAAAGCATGTCCTTCTGGCTCCAAATGGCTAGGAGGTCAGCCACCTCATCTGCCCTCCAGCTGGGTCCCTGGTGCTAGGTCCCTGGGCAGGCTCCTCTGCCCGGGTCCTGCCACTTGCCTCACCCTCAGGGATCCTGGTATTCCCTGTTTTAAAATGGCAGATTCTATGATAAAAAACCCAAATTCTCTCATTAAAATACCCCAAATCTGCATTCTTCCACAATTAAAATGAAACGCTACTATATATAGAGAGATAAGTTCAGCAATATTTTATTGATATATTTACAAGTTTAAAGCAATTCAGAGGCCTACCAGTGTCTCTGCCTCCTTGGCTCACCAGGATGTGGGGTGCTGAGCTGCTCTGCGATGCCAGTGCCCTGCCCCTGCCCTTGCCTCTCACTCCCAACCCACAGCCCCACATTCCCAACCAGTGCCCCTCACTCCTGACCGACAACCCCTGCCTGCCTCCACTAGCTCCCTCCCGGCCACAGCTCCGTCCCAACACCAGGATGAGTCCAGCTGCAGCTGTACCACCTGCTGCTTTGTGGCCCTGAGCAGTGCCAGCCCTTGCTGTTTTGCTCCCCATGCCTGTGCCCAATCCCCAGCAATCCCCATGTCATTCCTGGGAAACCCACGACTGAGTTCAGGGACCAGGCTGGACAAGCCTCTTCCCTTCCAGGCTGGCCTCTTCCTGCACAGGCTGCTCTAGGTGGGCAGGGGGCTCTAAGCCCAGCTCTGGCAGCCTCTCCTATCTGGAGCTGTCCCCAACCCTGACCCCCATTTCTCTCCCTCTCTCACACACACCTCTGCTGCCACCTCCACCCCTCCCCCTGTCCATCACACCCCCAAGTGCTTCCTGGGACCAGGAGCCCCCACAGGTCAGGGCCCCATGTTCCAGCACCAGAGTGGGCACAGGGCAGGGCTGCAGTGTGGCAGTTGCTGCTGCAGCCACAGCTCCTGCCAGCAGGTCCTGTTTTGTCTGGCAGCTGGGCACACAGGATGTGAGATGTGTGGGAGGGGATGTCAAGTTTTGGGGGGAAGTGGTGTAGGCATGGGTGTAGGGTTTGTGAGGGTGGTGTGGGGATTGTGCAGGGGTTTGGGGTGGTGTGGGGTTAGTGGGTGGATCATGGGGGAGTTTATGGGTGTGGGGGGACTGTGTGGGGATGAGGGGGAACTACTCAAGAGAGAATGGGTCTCCTGCCTGCCCTTGCACAGCCCACAGCCCCCCTGCAGCAGCAGCCGCTGGAGCACTCATTCCTGTTCCTGGCAGAGACCCCCAGGGGTGTGGGCACACCTCAGACTGGTGGCTGTACATGGGGTCACCCTGGCCCAGCCCACGCAACCTCGAACAGAACTGGGCTGGCTCCTGCTGTCACCTGTAGCTTCTGGTACTGCAGGCAGAAGCCGCGTGCCCTCAGTTCCAGCCAGGTCCTACCTCCATGTGCCACACATGCTGTCGGACCAGGCTGGCACCATGAGGCGGCCCCGTGCCTCTGGAGGTCCCTGCCAGGAGTGGGCATGAGCGCCGTGATGGCTGCTGCTGCTAGAGCAGCAGGGGAAGGGGGCAGGTAAAGAGATGCTTTGGCCAGGTGCCATAGCATTTCTTTGGAGGACCCATCCTCCAGTTGCCTCCTAGAGTGTGCCCTTTGCCACTTTTTCCCAGTGTGGGTTTGTTTGTTTGTTTTTTTGATACCAGGATTTTCTGGTATCAAAATTAGTGCCCACAGTACAAATATGTAGTGCGGGGAAATGTTTTTTATTCCCAGTGTGCCTCTTGCGGCATCTGAAGCTGCTTTGAGACGCTGCAACAGGCACATGCTTGCTTGTCTGGACGTGGCCGTAATATTTTATAAAGCTACAAGTAACCCAGATGTGATATACAATAGATAACAACTTTGTAAACGGGCAATGGTAAGAGTGAGGAGTGACCCTGGGTTTACATAGGTCAAGAACTTATAGAGTTTCAAGATATTGAAAAAGTCAATTATTCCTTCCCTTCAGAGATCATAAATCTAAAGAAAGCATTCCTTGACGCACTAATAGAATTACTCACCATGGCAAATGGATTGACTGGTAGGTCTGTGCCAGAATAGGCTGATAATGGAACAGCCAAACCAAGCTTAGGATTTTATTATAATCATGGTGCTTGGGCCAACCTCAGTTCGCTGTGAGCTAAGACTGAGCTGCAAGAAAGCCTCAGCTAATTTATGGTTTCTGGTGGAAGCCTCACATGAAATTTGATAGTTTGCTATGATTTCCCCTTTAAAGCAGGGAAACCATGGGGTTTTGCCAAACTTGCTCCAAGGCTCCAACCAAAAGTTAACGGAAGTTTCCCTTAATGGAAAGAGAAGCAGCAGAAAACATCTGCACATACCTCTTGAAGCATAGCCACAGCAAATCTTGCATAGGTCTTTCCACGTGCTATCCAAGCACAGCATTCAGGAAGAGGGGTACAGACAGTAGTATACAAGGAGTGGATTCTAGGTCACAGGGTACTTCATTCAATTCAATTGCTGAATAATTCATAAAAGGTCCTGCAATTGTGCATGTGAATGGAAGACAGTCATAGTCATGTTGCTTATGGAATTTCTGCTTTATCTTGCAATCTGAATGTAGGATTAGCCATGGGAATCAGGGGTTGGACTGGACTTGTGTGCAGCAGTAGGATGGGGTAACACCTCTATGCTGTCTTCTTACTGTCCAGAGAAGTTTTCATTTTTAAAATGGCACATCTGTAGCTGTTATGGTTGCTGGGATTGCTCCACAAACATAAACTAAAGGTAACGACTACCTCTCTCCAGTGGCAGAACCTGAAACAATAGCTTTGAGCTGTGAGGCCCCCCCTATGCATTTATATGTATAATTCAGATGGCCAGTGACAAACTGCTAAAGCAATTATCTATTTCTTTGCTTAAATTAAGAAAGGAGAGGCAAGATCATATTACAAATTGCTGCACAATCTACTTAATATGACTACTCATCTTGGTACCAGGAGCATATTGACTGAGGAATATAGGCAATGTATAAGTGCTGACATTGGAGGGGGGCACAACTCTGTGTCGTCACCAAGGTTGGGGGACACAAGTCCATGCCGCCAAGCCCACTGATGTGGGCATTGGGTCTGGCTGTTGGGGCAGAAATCGTGCTGCCACCACGATCCCCACTGCTGCTGGGTCTGGCTCTGGCCAGGCTACAGCCCTGTGCCCCGTGCCCCACTATTGGTGCAGAAATCTGAGGGGCCATGTGCCTTTCCATATCCACCCACCTCCATTCCCAGTGTTTGGGAATACACCAACACTTTCTTTCTGCCCCTAATTGAGAAGGAGATTTAACAGAGCCCAGTACAACATCTGAGCCACTTCAGGGAGCCAAGATCAAGGTATCAAGCAGGATCTACAAGTCTCACTACAGCATGTGACCCATGCTGAATGAGTTAGTCTTAGAGACCTGGGACTGCATGATCATGATACCATAAATGGGTTCTCAAGTGGGCAGAGCTTAAAAGACAATCCATACCTCTCTCTTCCAACCTGAGCCCTGATGAGAGTGCTTTTCTAAGCTGAGATAGGAGAGCAGAATACTGCATGTTACGGGTCATGAAGTGAGCAGTGCGAGGGGAGGAAAAGAGAGAAATATCCATTAAAGCCTCTTGGGAAATTAGCAAAATATAAGACACAATATTACAATACTAGGACAAGGAGCCTAATTCTTTGCAGCTATCAGTCAGTCTGTGGGAAAGGTAGAAGCTGTCAGACCATGATGCCCTTTGACATGATAGCAGGGGCGTGAAGCAGCTGCCTCAGAACATCTTACCCTTACACCTTCTGTCGCCCATAAACCGCACAGATGAAAATGTCCTCTCCTTACAGAATTATAGTGAGCACCAACTTCCTTCTGAGGGATAATTTCCATCATCTTTGAGGAAGAGATAGTCACTGTTTGACGTAACCAGAAAGACTAGGGTTGAATCATACACACAAAGCATATGCACAAAGGATTTTTTTTTCTTCAGTTCCCACTGTCCCATAATAAAAGGGTTACACCAGAGATAAGGGGGCAAGCACCCTTTCTTTTCCAGTTACCAACAAAGGGAGGCCTCATTGCTCTTGAAAATGAGCTAACAGCACTCTCAGTTTACAGTATGAGTCATAAAATATACACTTGGGGTAAAGGCTGGTAATATTTTTCACTGCTGTGTAGACTGGTAAACATTTTTTTAAGGTGAACTTTGATTTCCCAAAAGATAACCTGGATGTTTATTACAACCCAAATCCAAATTCAGACTTCCAGCAGACCGGGAGGGTCATGGCTCCATGCCCTTTCCCCATTGACTTTGTTTTGTAAACTTTATCAGATGGAGCTTCAATCAGCTGTGATGATGAAACAACCAAGCAATAAGGCTGGGTCTTATTGCTTATTTATGGAGCCAGATCTTGGCCTTGGCTGTACTGTTCCACATGGGAACAAAGCAGCATAAGGAGCCATTTAACTCCTCGGCATGTGGTACCTATACAACAGGTAACATTACAGGAGGTGGAACAAAGACAGGGTGGAGCTCAGCTACTAGTAAGCTACAACTACCCACGGCCCCCACACAGATGAGGCAGAGAGGGCAGTTGAGTCACATTTCTGTCTCTCCTCTGCTGTTGAGGCAGCATAGGTACGTACTGCCATGTTCCTAGTGCATGCCTGCCAGGTGCCAATCCAGGAATGAGTTTTTACATCTCAAATTCTGAACATTCCCTCCAAGAACTTGCAAGTGACTAAGTTCTTTGGGGAAGAGAAAAGGAGGTGGAAACGAACTGTCAAGTGTTTTTCAGAATATAATGAGTGCTGCCTAATTGGATATAAAAAGCATGTGACAAACCAGTAGCCAGGGGTAATCCTCATGGCAGTGACTAGGTACAAGACCAAGGCCTAGAACTGTCTGCATTATTCAGAGCTGGCTGTTGGTCAGAGGCGTGGGGGGCCTGTTTGCTGTGCAGAGCACAGGCAACTATGTGTTTGTTTTAAATGGGTTTAGAAGGCGCACATGCACTACATTTGTCACACGCTTTTCTCATGAGTGTGTTAAGATGCTCAGTCTTCCATGTCACTCCTTACAAATAATGCACAGGGGGTTCTTTCCTGTTGTAGGGTTAAGAAAGTTGTGAACTGAACCATAGCCATCCTCCAGGTAGGGTGGCCATTATAGAGGACAGTCTGGTTGTCCTCTGTCCTATATTGTTACGAAACCAGGGGCCTTTATGTCCTCTTTTGAAGAGACAAACAGAGGACATAAAGGTGTCAGTTTTCGTATCAATAGAGGACAGAGTAACAGAAAACCAGAATGTCCTCTATGATGGCCACCCTATCTCCAGGCCATATAGAGCATTTATGCAGCTGGTCTCTGTCACCTGTGACAGACTTGATGGAGAGACTGCGTCTTCCTTTGTTCTGAACACGGCCTCAGATGCACTGCTGACACTTGCTAAATGATAGTTCTCAAACCCTGTTCTCCTCTCCACAGGTTGCCTCTCTATCTGGTTTCTCTCTTCATCAGTCTCCTCTTCCTCTTGGTGAATCTAACGTGCGCTGTGTTGGTGAGAACGGAGAATTCGGAGAGGAAAGTCATCGTCTCAGTCCGTGTGGCAATTAACGACACGCTGTTTGTGTTGTGTGCCATTTCACTCTCTGTCTGTTTGTATAAGATTTCCAAGATGTCTTTAGCCAACATTTATTTGGAATCCAAGGTAAAGTAGACTTCCAAGTTCATTTCAAGACTACTTTTAGCTCAGATAAACAATTTAGTGGGAAAAGCTTCAGGTTGAGAAGTCTTTGGATTCCCCAGAAGCCAGCAATTTCCGTTTCAGTCTTTTATTCCATTTAGTTACCAATGTGCCTTCTGCTCTGTATTAATACTGAAAGACTCCCTAGCACTTTGCCATAAGAGTAGGAGTTTGAAGGAGCTGACATTGGTGGACTTTCTCCCAGATGTTTGTCAGCTGATTCCTGCCTCCACTTCAGAAAAAGATACATTTCAGTACTGCTGTATGTAGCTAGCTTGGCTTTTGGGGCCTTCATCCGAACAAATTATTATTTTAAGTCTTTAAGATAATGGCATATGTGTAAAAATAAATAGTAATGTATGAATGTCATTTCATAAATGAGCATGCCTCTCTGTTGGTAACTGAGAATTGGTCTTAAATACATAAACTTTATAAACAGAACCCAGAAGAAACAGATTCTTTTTCAATATTCTGCGGTATATACATGCATATATTTTAAATACTTCAGTATGTTAACAATTTGGAAATATGTTAAAGTAGAAAATGTCCTAGCTGATGTAATTGCAAACTCAGCAGGTATTTTACACAAAAGTCAATGTAGGGTTTTGTGCCTTATTTATAAATAATGAAAAAATGTTTCCCAAGATTTCTGAGCTTTCTGCTTTGCATTAAATGTAAGTCTTAAAATGACTGAAGCATAATAAAATGACTAGTAAAATGATATCCTTCTCATCATAAGAAGACTGTAACATTTGAAAACTCAATTATTGACAAAAAATCCTAGAAGAAAAGTATTCCCTTTATTTCTCTATTTTTCCATTTAATGAAATCCAGCCACACTGCATCAGCTGAAAGCTAGTTACTGATTGTTAGACTTAAAAATGCAGCTTTGATTTTACTCCCTGGCCTCCACCCACCCTCCTACCCCAGGACTCTGTCATTTGGTGATCAAAAGGCATTATTTTTATTAGTAACTGAGTTTATCTATTTAACGTAAATGGCAAAACTATAAGATTCTGTAATGAAGAACTGTTTACCACGTGGGGGCTCTGGTAGGATCTTCTATTCCATTTTTCCCCCTGATGCTATGCTGATCTGTTTTACTTCAGACCACTATGAGCAGAGAACGGCTCCCCTGAAATTGATAGGACAGAACATACACACTTGGGGTCTTGTTTCATGGGACACTTACTGTGTGTTAAATCCATGCAATATTCACATTAGAACATTTTCTGACCAGTTGATAGTAATTTTTACAGTGGTGCTGGGACCAACAATCAGCTGATTGTCAGTCCTGCCCCCCCCCCCCCCCCCCCCCCCCCCCCCCCCCCCCCCCCCCCCCCCACACACCCCCCC